TTCAATCTTGATCTCAAGTGAGAGGCAGCACTTCCTCTTAAAATCCAACTATAAACATCGCAGGTAAGAAATTCAGCTACAAAGCATACAGGGTATAAACAATGTACATTATAATATGTTTTAGGGAAGAAAGCTTGAGGGATAGTTTAATGGTATTACCCCACAGTGTGAGAGCTTGGAAGGCTTATGATAAAGCGCTTCATGAATATTTATTAATGTAGTAAGTAAGGATGGCTGGATGAGTTTCTCTATCTCAATACAGACTCACCCTGGGAGAAGGATAATGCTGCCGGAAACTTGTAACGTCCTCATTGCCACATGTCAGCGAGTTGTAGGACTCACAAATGGCACCGTCGGCTAAACGGTAGCTATTTTCTCTCAAACCTCAATCATGTTTTACTGCCCACTCAATTCTCTTTTGACCACTGCCACTTACTTTCATTGCCTGCCAAGACTCCCAGTTTTCTTTCCTTAGATTCACAGGTAGATAGGTACTATTATCTATGAGTTGAGCTTTGAAGAACATGCCTCAGGTCTCTAAGTGTCATGGGATCCATTTGGTAGAGAGCTAGTTACCTAAAGTCATTTCATTCTGCTGTCGCATGTCTTCCACTTACATCTGGTCTCCCACTGGCACCCGTAAGTTTCCATTTGTCTACTTCCCCATGGCCTCGATGTACATTCATCCAAGGTTCAGCTTATCTTCCACCTGGTGCTGAACTATCAGCAGATCTAGTTTATTAAGGGTTCCCTTAGATGAAGGCCATAGTGTGTGTGTGTGTGTGTGTGTGTGTGTGTGTGTGTGTGTGTGCACGTGTGTACATGTTCATATGTATGTGGGGGACTGGTGTGCTGGCATCTGTATGCATGCAGGTGTGTGAGGTCAGAGGTCATCCTCCTCTGTTGGTTTTCAGGACAGGTTATCTCAAGTAGCTTAGAAGGTCATCAAGAGGGCGATGCTTGTTGGTCAGCCTGTAAGTCCAAAGGTTCCACCAATCCCTGACTCCTCAGCACTGGGATTAGTGTGCACTACCATGCCTGGCTTTTATGTGGGTTTGGGGGATTGAACTCAGATCTTCATGCTTGCAAGGCAAGTTGTTTACAGACTAAGCCATCTCCCCAGTCATAGAGGTATTGTGCACAGAGAATGATCTACATCTACAATAGCTATATTTTCAATTTTGAATGAGTGAGTTTAGTAGGTATACAGCAAGCAAGAATAAATGAATAATGAGTAGGCAGTAGATAGGTTGAAAAGCAAATAGGAAGCCAAATATTGAGCCAGGCACTTACAACGACAAACAAAAGTTGACTCAAATAGCCCCATAAAAACAGCCAGCTGGAGTTAGCAACTGAGAGCCCTGCGTGGAGCAGAGTGTCCCCTTAGGAGTGGCTTCCAAGCAAAAGATCAAGTAGCTAATAGCAGACCGTTATCAAATTGGGTGCTTATAACATCTAACAGGAACAGCTGGGGAAGCCTGGCTAAAAGCATCCATCTAGGTTCAGAGCTGTCTCTTTGTGGATGAGCTCCCAGCATCTGGTTCCCACCACTGGCGTTTTTACACCGTGAGATAAACAGCAGTAACCTCTGCTGGAAATGGGTTTCCTTTAGCTGTCCTGAAGGGTGCAGTGCTTTTTAAGACCCTTAGCTCTTTATTTCCCCTTTGCCCTGTTATAGAGGCATGGGAGAAAGGCAGGGGGCAACCTGACCCAGGAGAAAAAGTTTTAGAGGACTCTTGAAATAAACATGTTCAAGTCTGGGGTAGCAGAGCCCTCCCTACTGCTTTCAACAAGTGCAAACAGCACATGAAAATTGATCAGTACGGTTTATATTACAAAAGTTCTCCCTCTGGACCATGACACACAAAGGTATCTCTATGCTGTCCATACCCTGTTAGGCCGAGTGGGGCTGATCGTGGTTGTGGGACTTTATTATAGTTCCATATGCCATCGTTTATGATTTAGAAAACTTTCTTATGTATTTTTGGGTTCTACATTTTTATTTTCAGATGTTGAAAGTCAAAGTGTAAAATCACTTTACTTTAGAATTTTCTAGACTGTGGTTTCTGCTAGCCAGCTGATGAAGACCCAGCCACATTTCCCTGCTGATAAATGCTGAGGACTAACCTGGAGGAGCGATTTGTCCTTATTTTCCCAGACAAAGCTAAGATTAGCAAACTTCCAAATTTAACTCCCTGGTTCCTTTCTGACAGGATTCTTTTTAAATCTGTGTTTAAGTTGAGTCTCAAGTTATCAAATGGCAGGATTTCCCCTTGAAACTAAAGGACTGAGAGCAGAAGGTGGGGCCTGTATGTTTGTGCCAATAGCTCAGAAAGGAACCTATAATTGATCCAGTAATTCCCTAGAATCTTACTAAATTCCTGAATTACATCAAACTGAGATATGTATTTGAATATTTGAATGATGGGAACTCCATTTTGATCCCTACTCTGTTTCGGTGGTATTTTTGAAGCATAGTATTTTTCCAGCCACATCCTTGCCCGGTAAGATGCCAATCAAGGTTCTGGGATGGTAATGTCATCCCTGCATTTGTTGAGTATTATAGTTCCATTGGTTTAGATTACTTGCTTTCCATGCTCATTTCTGCTCTCTGGCTGGTTCCAGAAATGTGGCTTCTCTAGCATATTCTTCTCACAATCCCCAGGATCCAGTTTTGTATATCATATAACTTTATTTTAACATTTCAGAGTTTAAGTCCAGCTTCTTTTAAAGCCGTAGGTATGGCTTGGTCCCATACATCATGAAGGGCTATGGCTAGTAAACACTGTCTAGGGAGCTCTGTGGACCTAATCCTGTTTAATTGGCTTGAATGCATATCACAGCACTATAGACATATAGACAGTTCTTGTGGCTTTGCATCTGCTGTAGCTTCCAGGCTCAAGAGGCAGAACATGTGGCATCACAGTGCCCCGGTATAGCTGCTCTTGCTTCATGAACCAGGTGTCTTAGCATTTGTGTCCATCTTCGGAGTTTTCAGGAAAGATTTAAAAACAGTGCTTGCTGCTTTTCATGTATGCTGTTTTGTGATTTCTTGCAACCCAACTAGCACATAATAAGAGAGGAAAATGCACTGAGTCTCGGGTAGGTGATAGAATTTTTACTGCTGCTCTATTTAGAAGCACAAAGCTACTTGGTGCATCACTGGAGACCAAAGCTAACACTTCATTTCAGCAAGATATTGAAGTTTCAAAGTACCCAGAGGATATCTTTTAGTCTTTTGCTTCCAGATTCATATAGGCAGTTGTGGTACTCTATCCTGATTGATGCACAAGCTACTCACAATCTACTTATCTATTTGGACCAGACTTTAGGTGGAGAAAAATTCCTCTTTACAACTAACGAATTTAATTCAGCTGTAAATTCTGCAAAGGCTGGTGAGCAGGCACCTCCAGCTTAGGTGTCTGCATCCTCTTAGGGTGAGGATGAGGAGGCTATATTTATTTACTTCAGGGATGACTGAAAGAGAGTCAGATTGGAGGCTAGAGTCAAGGGACAAAACTTGTAATGTTTTCTGTAGTCACAGGACAATGTTTAGTGATGTGAATTCCACACACATGTTCAAACATAAATATCCGACTTTACCTCCAAGCTAAAAGCAAATTTGGAAACATCATGCCTTTGCTGTCATTAGTAACACCATGACTCTTCATTTGTAATGTGGTGGAATTTGAGAATTGAATGGCTATCTCTGCTCATCCATTTCCCATCACAAGAAGGGTCACCAGATTTAGTAAACAAAGATACGAGCTATCAGTTCAATTTGAATTGCAGATGTACAATGAATAATTTTCTGAGTCTAAGTAGGTGCCATACAGCACTTAGACAAACAATGCATGGGAACACTTGATGCTAAAGCACTGTGCATCTGAAATTCAAATGTAAACTTCTTCTTTCTTGCTTATCTTAATGTAACTAAGTAATTGGATCCAAACCAGTGTCCACTCTCTTTTCTCTATGTCCTTCTCTGGCTCTGAACTTCTGAACAAAGAAGCAAGTCCTCAGTGTGTTACACCCGGAACCCCAGAAATGTAATGTTACTGGTGTTTTCAAATAGACCAGAAGCCTGTAACTGAAAGAGGCCTAAAAAAGGAAATGTGACATATCAGATAATCCTCTCCTACTTCCTCCAATGCAAGTCATTAGTGCATGATATTTTGCGGCTGGCTGAGCCAGCTGCTGTTACCAGAATTCAGGTGGGGATAAAAGGACATTTACAAGTTTTCAAAGTTCTTTTCCAAACCCAGGTAAATAAATATGCACCAGCAGGTGATGTCAAGAAGGAAGGAACAGAGTTGAAAGCAGAATTCTGTCATTTAGGCAAATGCAAATGCAAACTTGACTCTGTGGTTTAAGGTCCAGAATGGAGTGCCTGCTATTTTCCAGTCCCCAGATGGGACATTAGGTATCTGCGGTGTGCAGATGTGAGAGGTTTATATTACCTTTCAGTATCACCGAAGATGGGCCATCAGGGCCATTCAGAGGTATAAATTTGTCTACCAAAATGATCGGATTACTAAATTATCCTCTTGCTTCTCATGTTCGTACCCATTTTCTGAGTCATAAGTCAGAGGAACAAAGTTATTGCTTTTCAAGTTTCCACCGTTAAGTGCTGAGACTGGAGACACTCAGTGCTTTGCCTCCAGCCAAAGCTCAGCCTACAGTTCCAGCAGAAGGATCATTAAAACCCTGCTCTTTGTCAGGCGGAAGCTTGGAATATTGTTGGGCTTTTCACTTGAAGGCTTAGGACTGCATTTCCTGGCAGCGCGTGTGGGACTGACAGCAAAGGCAAAAATCACTGTATCATGGTGTGACACCCCTGCATCATGGTTCTGCTTCTAACACCTGTTTTATGACGCATTCTTTTTGAACCCAGGCTTTTCTGAAGTCTTTTCCAAAAACAATGAAATGTCTTCCAGTTTTAATCTCAAGTCGGAATCAAACGGGGTTTTAATTTTTTTTTTTTCCTTTCAAAGGGCAAGTTCCATCTTCCAGAAAAGCTTAAGGAGGGCGGAGGCCAACTTCTGTGGGGCTTCCATGTGTTCACACAGCGGCTCTGGAGCAGAGGGAATATCATGCTACAGATTTCCAGAGAAGTTCTTGGCTAGCGTTTTCTGATCTCCACTTCTACTGCAAAAGTGAGAATTCTGTTTCTGTGGCTGCTCCTGATCGGGTTTCCCGGGCGTGACCTCAGCACCGTGAAGAGGAGTGAGACGCTAGGACCACGTTACCATGTGTCTCTATGTACTTCCCATTCATGGCAAAATAATGTTCCAAATCCTTAGCCTGCCTTTGAATACTGAGGAGTTTCGCTGATCCATCACAGCATCTCAGCAAGGCAATGCTTCCCAGTGAAGGATTGTCCTGCAGTGGTAGGGTGCTTAGGGGCCATTAGCTCCACGTCATAATGTCATTTCCAAGTGCTCCGTAAGGGTTGGAAAGGTTCCTAATCAGAACCACCTGTCCAGATTGTGGCATCTAATTTACTTTTCCCACCCACACTTGCCTTGTTCCACTAGATAAATGTTACACCCCATGGATGCTATTTGCTCTTTGCTGTTATGAGTATTCATGAGGTATTAGCAAGGCAGTTTGTGCAACCCAAGACATCTAGCAAAGGTTTCCAAGCGCAGGGTCTGCTTGGTACTTGCATCTACCTTGCTTGGAAGCTCTTTCATTCCATGCATCTGGGAGCAGGAGAAAGGAAACTTTTCTGACACCCAAATGAACAAAGCCTACCACGCTTTTTATTGAAAAAGCTATCCTAATCCTCCTCCCTCAGAGTAGATAGAACTTTAGGTAGCTGCCCCACCCCACAACTGCCTTAGACAGTTCCTCCCTCCCTTTCTCTCTCTTTCTACTGTGTCTTTCTTTCTTTCTTCCCTCCCAGCCTCCCTTCCTTCCTTCCTTCCTTCCTTCCTTCCTTCCTTCCTTCCTTCCTTCCTTCCTTCCTTCCTTCGTGCTAGGAATTGAACCTAGAGCCAGACATATCAGACAAGTGTTCCACCACTGAATAGCATCCCCAGCCCCTCACTACCTTTTAGATATAAGTTCAGAGATATATGAAATCTCACTTTATTTCCTTATTTTCTAAATTCATCCACTGCTCATAGTCTATGCTAGGCATTCAAGACTTAGCTGGAGAGACAAGTGAAACAGTACTGTACAATGCGCTAGTGGTTTGAATAAGAACGGCCCCCATAGTCTCATATATTTGAATACTTGGTTGCCGAGGAGGGGTACTATTTGAAAGGAATAGGAGATGTGCCTTTGTTGGAGGAAGTATTTCACAAGAGTTGGCCTTTGAGGTTTCAAAAGCCCATGCTACGCCCAGAATCTCTCTAGGCCAGCAGATCAGGATGTAGCTCTCAGCTGTGTTTCCAGAACCATTTCTGCCTGTGTGTTACCATGCTTCCCACCATGGTGGTAAAGGACTAAAGCTCTGAAATTGTAAGCAAGCCCTCAATTAAATGCTTTCTTTTATAAGAGTTGGCTTAGTCATGTTACCTCTTCACAGTCATAGACCACTGACTACAACAAATGTGTACATAATATGTGAAACCCAGGCTATATGTGTAGCACCAAAAATAGAATTCATGGAATGCTTTCTCCAAAAAATAATGCTTGGGATGGATTTTGAGGGCCAGCTGTTGATGAGAGAAAAGGAAAACAAATTCCAGCTTCAGGGTAAAGTTGTGAGTAATAGCTATGGCCACAGATCATTTTGGCAGAAGCAAATGGATCCTGTTGGAAAGCGTCAGGCAGTGAGATCAGCCAAACCATAAATGGCTCTTTGTGATGTGCTGTAGGCTTCATTCTGTAAGCTGGGAGGGTAGCTAAAAGATTTTATTTCATTTTTACTACCCCCCCACTTCACACCATACAATTGTTTCCCAGTGTCCATGGGAATCATTTCCAGGATCCCTCTTCAAGACACTAAAATTTACAGATGTACAAGTCTCTTAGGTAAAATGTAATACTTTCATGGAGCCCATGCGATAATGTATGGGTCAGATCATTTCTAGCATGAGTATCTTACACAATGCAGTGTAAATATAAGTGGATAGTGTTATATAATATATTTTTAAGGGAACAGTCACAAGGAAAAATGTGTCTGTACCTGGTAAGCAATTTTCTTTTTCAACTATTTTTTGCATACAGTGGATTGAGTCCGTGAATGTTGAATCCATGGATACAGAGGGAAATGACTTATTTTCCATTTGTTTCCTAAACAAAAATGATATCCTTTTCATAGATAGGATTTATATTGCTTTATCTTTTGTTTTCTAGGATTTACCAAAATGGCAAGTTCTATATGGCAGCTGGCAGATTTTCTAGAATTGTTTTGGATTGGTGAATGAATAACATAAAAAATAATCTCAAGATTTTTTCTCTCATCTAAAGGTATTCACATTTGGTGGTTGTTCATTTAGATAGGCTGGCATGGGAGATTTAGATTTATCTTAAATATATTTAGAAACTAACTTTCTGAATACATATGTGTGCATGTGTGCTTATATGTGTAAGCAACTACCTTCCAGTTTCTTTGGGCTCTGGTGATGCTTGCTGTGAGCAGAATTTTCCATTCTTTGTTCCATTTTTTACTTTTTACTTATAAAGCAATGCGCTAAGTAACTCCTGGTCATGTGGGTAATGATAAAACAAAAGAACAAAGGAGAAAAAGAAAAAAATGTCACAGATTAGCAATTAGAGCTTAAAGCCCTCATAGCAGGCATGTTTTCCTTCTTTGGAAAATGTCACCATTTTACATTTCTGTTACTCTAGCCCCAGGGCAACACCACTGTGGTCACATGGTTCTAGAGAGGAAGGGAAGCTCAGAAATGGAGCTCACTCATAAAGAAGGGTTTGACTTCAGTCTTCTGACTGTCAACATTCACACCACAGCTTGTCTTAGTTGAAAATTGGAGAAATGTTTTCAAATTCCCCTGGGCTCTGAGCTGGAAGCCAGAAGAGACTGCTTCCAAAGAGCAGAAATCGTGGGGCATCAATTATCTTCACAGAACAGCAAACTGGTCTCATTTCTGTCATCTGCCTGCTTATGACTCTACACAGTCTAAATGTTTGCTCTCTTCCTCCCTGAGAAGGAGAAAGCCACGGGCCCTAGGAGGAAGGCAGTGAACAACTAAGCTAACCTGTTTCTGCTCCAGGATTTATGGGTAGTTCTATTGAGAAGACGTTTTATAGGTCAGATGGCCTAGATTAATTAGGCTGACTTCATGTTCATGTAAAACTCACATTATGAGGTGACATCTTTATGGATGTGCCAAACTTTGACAGGCCAGAAATTCATTTGACCAATTTCTTTACTTTCTAATTTCAACAACCAGAGGGAAAATCCCCAGGATGGTCATTGTCTGTTTGTCCTGTGCAGATTGGGCTGCCCAGGTTGAACAATGTTGCACTGACCCACAATAGATGGGCTCTTCTCTGAGTTCTTTCACACTCCAACCCTGGTGTTTTGCCATCTGTCATATGTGCGGAGAGAACATGGGAGCAAGAGCATACAGACACAACAGCAAATTCTGCAATGCATGTGGCTAGACTTCACAAGTATTAAGAATAAATGTCATAGCATTTTCATGAAGAAGTTTAAGAAAGGGTGGGTGAGAGAGGAAGTCTTGACCCAATTTGATCTTATTACAACAAACCACTACATTAACTCATGTAGTACCCTGAAACACTCATAGCTTCTGTTTTACAGCTGGTATGTGCCAACATCAAGACAGCTTTCTCAACTTTGCCATTATGGATACAATGGTTTGAATAATTCATGAGGGGTAGCTGTGCTGCACATTGTGGGATTTCTAACAGCATCTCTGGCTTCCACCACTATATGGAATGGTCAATTACCTGATCTTTGTCAATTAAAAATGTCTCTAGACATTGTCTAATGTCCAGGCATGGAAGGTGGGCAAAAGTCTACTGTTTTAATGTATATATAATAAGTATTTGCTAACCAGAATTACAGCCTTAAGAAGTATAGCTACATGATTTCTCTGTTGTGTAATTAATCAGTTCCCTCCATCTGTCTTTTAAAACCAACATTTAGCTGGATCTAGAGGATCATTCCAAATGACAAGGATACTCAACAACTAGTCTTTGGGGGGTGATAATAGGCCCTAATCAATTATTAAATGAATATATTATTGCATCAAAATAGGATGCACACTAGGTTACAATTTACCAACCACAAATGGACATGTGCATTGAGCTGAACAGCATATCTCCAAAAGCACTGGGGCAAAGCTTGTGGGAAGAGTGAGGGCTAGATGCTACAAGCAAGCCTGCTTCAGTGTGCTTCTGTCTCTCACATTTGCCAAGATTCTCATAATAAATTATGAAATGCTTAGGAGATATTTTGAGAGTCTTAAGAAGATAAGAGAAGGGCAGTACTTATTTTTGTTTTGATGTTGGTTTCTTTTAAGGTCATCTTGAGGTTTTTACAGGAAAATCATACCACAATCCCTCATCCACTCTTCCTTTGGGGAGATTCATTGAAGTTTATGAATTCAATAATCACTTCTGTGTCATTACTGATTTTTTCTGTGTCCATAATTCCATTTTTATTGAAATGTAATTCATACAGCATTAACTGTAGATGAATTCCCAAACATAAATCATCTTTGGTTAAAGTATAAAATCATTCACAATGGTTGTACAATCAATACCCTGTGTAATTTCAGGGACTTGCCCCATTCTAGAAAGAAACCACATGCTCATTAGCAGTCTTTCTCAGTCCCCATCCCTTAGGCTCCTAGCATCACCATGGGGTTGTCTCTTTTGAATGTCTTATATCAATGGCACCACACAGTATTCAGCCCTGCCTGGTGTCTGGCTTCTTTCACTTAGAGACTTGCCTGTCTTTGACTCATCCTGAACTGGACACTTATGTCTTCAACCACCTGCTTCATTGGACTGCTTAACTCTCACACTGCTCAGGTGTGACTGAACACAGCCTCCCCACTCCCAAACACAATCTGAGTATTCCCATTCTTAGCCAGTGATACCCAGTTATGCCTTCCTTATTGATGAAATCCAATTGGCTGCCTTTCTATGGTACCACTGGTTCATTCACAACTCCGTATCCCTCTTCTAGGCTGTTTTTCAGTCTTGTAGCAGGTCATTAGGTTTTAGGATCACCACACCTCATCTACTCCATGTTGACCCTCCCTCTCTTGCTTTTGTCTTCCTTTGGTTGCTCCCACCCTCTGGAACAAGATTGAAAGCCTCAGCTGGCCATGTCAGCTTCGCATTGCACGCTTCCTCCATTCTACTCTCCATCTCCTCCCATCTGTGTTTTGCTTACACTTTTTTCTTAAAGAAACCTCTTGCTTGTTCTCAAATACCCTGTGTACTTAGCCTCTGTCATTGTCTTAGATGTGACGAAGGGAGATGGTCTCCCTTTTGTCTGGAAGACTTGGTAATTCCTCCTTCTTCAAGAAGATTTCTCTGATGTCTCCTACTCAGTCTCACCCCATGCATTTTTCTTTGTCATATTGCATAGGTCAGAGAAGTTATCACACTATACTTTTCTGTTCTCTACCTGCGTCTACTAAATTATGAGCCCCTTAGTGTAAGGATTGCACCTTTGTTTGTATGCCACAGTGTCATAACAAAATACCACAGAGTAGACGACTAACAAAGAGACATTTATTTTCTCACTATTTTGTGGGGGCTGTAAGTCCAAGAACAGTCTTGGGGGGTACTTTCTTCTGAGGCTTCTCTTCTTGGCTTGTGGAAGGCTCCCCTCTCTGTGTCCTCAAGTGCTTGCTCCTGTCTGCGTCATTAGTGTTCTAATCACCTCTACTTATAAGGACACAGCTAATATATTAGATCTTACACGAATGTCCCCTTTTTATTTAGTTACCTCTATACAATCCTTATCTCTGAAACCAGTCACTTTTTTGAGAAACTAAGGGTTATTAGCTTTGACACATGAATTTAGAGCAGATCCAGTTCAGCTGGTAGCCATCTTCTATTTTTAATTTATTAATATATAGTTATTGAAGAGGGTCTTAGAAAAATACAGTAAATGAAAGAATTTAAGATTAGAAGTCATGGAGAAGAAGCTGATAGAGAAGAAAGAGAAGTTTCTAGAAAATCAGACCAGATACCCAGACTATTGATATCACTCATTTTTTGTATTGATTCAATTCAGATGTTGCAAGGCCAGGAAGCAAAGTAAACATACTAAGACTTATATGAAATGCCAAAAACTATCCTTTAAAGCTTAAAGAGTTCATAAACATTGAAGAGATACATTTTACAATCTTAAGTTTCCTCCTGCCATTTCATTCTGGATAGTGCTTAAATTTAGAAAACCGGGGAGTGGAATTTATGTTCAAGGGTTTATAAAGTTAATTATAAAATTTAATTTTATTCATTTACTTGGCCAGGTGGAGGAATGAAAATAAATGGCATTTCAGTATAATTCACTTCTAAAAACAACTTTATTATGCTTAATTTAAGCAGGATTGCCACTAGGTTTTTCTATATCCACCTTCAGTATAATTAAGTCCTCCTACTGAAGATTTAACACTGATGTTTGAAAGGAATTGATGGAGACTAGTATCAGATGGGAAACAATTCACTAGTTTGCCTTTGTTTTCAGTTGAAAGGGCTTATATAAGCCTGGGTCTAATTTAAGTGTTTAGAAAAGGTCTTCGTTCTTGGGCGCTGTGGACAATGATAGAACATTACAGCATGTATCTAGACTGTTTCCCACAAGCTCATGGTGTGAGTTCTTGGTCCTCGGGTTGGGGTGCTGCTTTGAAGATTGTGGAATCTCTAGAATATAGGGAATAATGCAGAAGTGGGTCACTGGGGTGAGCCTTTGAAAGTTACACCTTCTCTGAGGTGCAACCCCAGTCTCTGCTTACCGTTCCATGCGAGAGCAGCAGTTTAGCACCCTTTCACTGCCCTGCCTTCCCCACCATGATGGGCTGAGTTGCTCTGAATTTATGAACCCAGATCTGTCTTTCCTCCTGTGTTCTGTCATGTGTTTTAGTTCTGGAAATATAAAAATTTACCGATATGGAGAACACCTGTGACTTTAAAGCGTTCTTTTGAGATCCTCACAAGGCTGCCGCATTGACTTCTCAGCTTCCTATACATGCAGAAGCTAGTCCAGGACTGAATGGTTTTTCTCAAATTCTATAGGTCCAAGAGCAGTGTAGAACTGAATATTTTTATATTTTCCTCAAAATTTTAATCTCAGAACTGACATCATAGTGAATTCTCATTTTTGTAAATAGATGTTGAATAATTAGCTTGAGCTTGAGCTATGCTGAGTGAGCACTTTGGATGTATAATTTGTTTAATTCTCATCTCATCCAGGTGAGTGCTATGGAGGCAGAATAAAAAGGTGGGAGAAATAAGAGAAT